AAAAAAGCCCTAAAATGAGTATTTCCACGACCAGAGAAAAATCCAGTACCTTATGCTCGATTACATGTACAGGCAAGATATCAACAGAAATAGCCAAACACATAAAAAAGAAAGGAATAACACTCGCTTTCAGAATAAAACAATAACTTAGGCAAATATATTAAGAACAAGAGCCAAAAGAGAAAGCACTTACACAGTGGTATACAAACTTAAATGTGGCGACTGCCCAAAAACTTACATCGGTCAAACTGGTAGAACTTTTAACAAATGGATAGCAGAGCACAAAATGCCTTTTAATAATAGAAAAACATATTCTACGTACACACTTCACCTTCTAGTCTACAATTCTGAATTTCCAACTTGAGACAAACAGTTCTCCCCTCCTTAACTTATTCAGTTGAAGACTAAGTGTAAAGGCATACCAAAAATAGATCACTTGAAAAGGCCCTCTGCCGAAACAACTGTAGTGATAATAAATTTTGTGAAAGTTTTGAAAACAACAGTTTTCAGTGTTTTATTGTTACATGGGCATTAGGTATTAGGACTACCGCCATGTCACTGTCAGTACTCCAACGGAGTTGGTCTGGGACATTTGTAAACAATACTACGATTGATTAATTTTAATTTAGAAAATGTATTTCCCATCGCCATTAGCAATTTGATTACCAGTTTCATCTTACTTTAAGGGTTTTTAATATCAGATCGGCCAAAAATGGTGAAACAGGCTATAAATAAAAACCGTTGTAACATTCTGTCATAAAAACTGCGGTATTGTTCTCTAAAACTATTTTCTTGTGGCATTTTAATTGTACAACTATATTGAAATTTATTTAACGATGTCCAACACGCAATATTTGATCTAAAAATAAATATTTAATACGATATGAAATACAAACCATAGTTTTAAAGCTCATAAAACGTGAACACTTTAAAATCGTGATTAAAGTCGTGATTAAAATCGTTCGCCAAATTCTTTTAATCTGATTTATGGCACCAGGAAAATTCCAACTCATTGGGCTCAAATAACATACATATATCACGCTGCTTAAAAAGCATTCGAAAAAGATACGAAAAATATTTTTTAAGAATATACAATTTAATTTATAAAAAATATGAATCTTTCATAGATGTCACACAGTTTTAATTTCGTAGAGACTTCGATTCAATAGAAGCTTTGTTGACTTTTCAAGTCCTAGTACTGCCATCTAGGGATTTGTTTTGACACTATACATATGTTCATACCCTTTTAAAAAGTTTTGATCGAGTCCAATATAAAAAGAGATTGAAAAAAGAGAATGATTATTTTGGAGAGGTTGGCCTACTTAGATGATTGCAATTTACAGATAATTGCCAACTTTTACTGGTATTAGACACTAGCTAAAAGGACAAAATCAGAAAAGGTATTCCTCAACGATGTACACTAGCTCCGTTTTTATTCAACATTCTCTTACACTTAGTTCTTGTAGCAAATACACTTTAAATTATTTCTCGTGTTTGAGTTATATTACATTCTTTTTTTTTTTTTCATCGACTCATTCGAATTGTCCCAACTATCTAAGTGGTCGGAATATATGTCACTTCCGCGGTATACTCGAGTATGTTCTACTTACTCGAGTTTTGTAATTTTTAATATTTAATATTTTAATATTATTAGTCTATTATAGATCTCCATCATTGAGTACTTCATGTGTATTTATGAATATCTTTATATCTAAAGAACGTGTTCATGAGTTTCAACAAATCTTAGATTTGTTGAAACTCAGCTTAGATGGCTGAGGTATTCTCCATCATTTTGCTGTATATATTTTCTAGAATTGCAGTGAAGTGCTTTGGTGATATTGCGTTTCCTTATCGGGCGCCTCTGGTAGTGCGAAACTCTGGAGTGTTTTCATAAATTTTTACCTTAGCTTTCGCTTGTCTGTATATATTTGCTAAAGACTCTATGTATGGTTTGTCAATTCCTTGGTTGGTCAAAGCTTCTATTACTCCTTGAGATATATAGAATGGAAAGCCTTCTCGAAATCTATGAAGGCTAATGCTAGCGGTATTTCATATTTCAGTTCATTTCATTCATATTCTTTAGCTCTACTCATTAGTTATCGAAGTGTATGGACATGATCCAGGGTACTGAATCCACTTCTCAAGCCAGCTTGTTCTCTTTGCTGTGCAGCATCTAATGCATTTGTTAATCTGTTGTTAATGATCTTTGTAAATGTCTTATATATGATTGGTAGTACAACTAATATAATTATAGGTCTTTAGTTTTTGATATTCTCTTTGATACCTTTCTTATGGATGAGATTTATGTTTGCTGTATTCCAGTGGTCTGGTATGCATTTAGATCTTATTCAGTTCGTAAATATGCCTGCTAAGATTATTCAGGTTTTTTTGCCAGCGTATTTAAGCAGTTTCACTGTTATGCCATCTAGTCCAGCTGCTTTTCCAGTTTTCATTTTTGTACTTGTCGATTCTACTTCTTCGGGAAGGATTTATAGTATATCTTTTTGGTTAGTGCTTGCTTCTTCAAGTATTTCAGGGGTTTTTTATAATTCGCTGTATGATTTAGTCATTCTATCTGTTATTCTGTTGTTTTCATTTGTTAGAGCAACAATTTGCTTCTTCCCAATGACTAATTCTTTTTAGTTTTTATTATGTTTTTGATTGCATTTTCTCTCAGTCTGTCATTGTATTTTCTTATGTCTTTCTTAATATTTTCCTTATTGTCTTACTAAGTTCTGTGTATTGAATTATCTGTATCTTGTTACTTACTTTCATTCCCCTTCTTTGTTTTAGCAATATTTTGATTTTATTAGACAGTTTCATTCTGTTGCGGACCTCCGAATTCTTTGACACTATCAAGGATGATTTCCATTAATTGAGAGCTGTCGATTTGATCATGTAATCTTTCATCAATGGTCCTTTGGTAGTGATCTGGGTTTTCTTGTAGATTGTTAATATTTATACCGGTTACTGTTGGTTTTGTGAATAATTTTATTTTTCTAGTTTTAGATCTAGAACCATTTTTGTTCTGATTAGTCTATAGTCGCTGCCTGTTTGAAATTTATTTATTACACCGACATTTTTTATTGCAGCAATCTTGTTGGTTAGAATGAAATTAATTTCGTTCTTAGTGGTTCCATTTGGTGTTATATAAGGCCATTTTATGTTCGATTTTTTATGAATAATTTATTTGCAATATACATGTTTTGGTAGTGTGTAAATTGAACCAGTCTTTCTTCCATTTCATTTCTTTCACCGACTCCATCCTTTCCCGATAATATATTAATTTCTAGAGAAACAGGGGGAAATGTAATAGACGCATTCTACCATCATTTAGGATCCTGTCAAATTAACAACAGAGGACATTTTGGACACTCCATTCGGTATACCTTAATTCTGAGAATTCAATAAAAAGACACTATCGATGTATCGCTAAACAAATATTATACAGGGCGGTGTTTTAGAATTTTATTCAAAACAACTTTTACCTTTTGAATGTCTGGAAATTGGCTTAAAGACTTATTTAAAATGTTAATAAATGGCATAGTAACACGGACCAAAGAGACTTGATACAGACATTTGAAACATTAGAAAAAGCCGCGAAGGCAATGTGCTCTGACAGTGGAATTTATACGTTAGTGACCGGTCTAGTATCACTCCAAGATATTTGGGCCTATCAGTATGTTTCAAGCGTTGTCCCTCCCAAGAAACATTCAGTTTTACATGCGCCAGTTGGTCGTTGAGATGGAATGTACATACTTGGGTTTTAGTAGGGTTTGGCTTTAATGAGTTTTGTTTGTAGTAAGTTGACATCATGTTTAAAGCATCTTCCATTGTCGACTCTACTTGTGTGAGTGTTTTCCCCTTTACGGCTATACCAAGGTCGTCAGCTTAAACAAAACTCTCAGTCTGAGGGTGCATTGGTTGGTCGTTGGTGTAGATGTTAAATAAGGACGGCGCCATAACGCTTCCTTGAGGTAGGCCATTTTTTGGGTTCTCCATCTACTCTTCTTTCCATTTAGCACAACGTAGAAGCGTCTATTACACAACAGTGATCTAATGATATTTACCAGGTCATAGTCAAGCACAGTGTTATACATCTTAGTTAGCAAGGTTCTGTGGTTTATCTATCATAGGCCGCTGTGAGGTCTGTCAAGGCTACTCCTACTATCTCTTTCTGCTCAAATCCCTCCTCTATGTATTCTGTTAGGTTCAGTACTTGGCCTGTGCATGATTTACCTGGTCTAAAGCCTGATTGTTGTGGGATTAGTTTTGCATCTAATGTTTCCTGGATGCGGTTCAAAATGAGCCGTTCATACAATTTATACAAATGGCATAGCAGAGATATCGGACGGTAGCTACTCGGTAGTTTTAATACTTATAAATTAAATATTTGTTTTAACTAATGTAATTTTTTCAAAGAAAATTTACATTTTTTAAAATCTATGGTTCACTTTGCTAAAATTTTAATTCATAGTCAAATTTGATTTTTTAATTAAAAATTAAGTACCTAATCGTGTGGCGAAAAAATGAATATGCCATTTTTATGGCACATGTGTAATTTCTAAAATTCTTATTAGGGTTTTCAAATACTGTATATAGGGTAACATTTTTCTATGAAAAAAACGAACTAATTTTTTAAAACCGGACCTGATCAGTTAATTAGGTGGTAGTGGTGTAACGTTTGACCAAAACATGAGACAAATCGAACTTATCGTTCAAAAGTTATGACGAATAGAAATGTCAGTCAAAATTCACAACTCCCCTGTATATTATTAAACAATGTGAGCAGACACTTTATAATGGTCATTTGATATACAGTTCCTCATGACTCATCCTGTATATCTCCATACTTAAGCCGTCCATGTGCAAAAGTTTGATGATTTTATTTTGAATGACTTATATTACGTTTCTTTTTAATATATATATATATATATATATATATATATATATATATATATATATATATATATATATATATATATATGTTTTTCTTTTAGGACAGTGATACAAATTACAGAGCATCAATCATGACTAATTTTTGTATAGAAAAAACCTATATACAGATGTTAGAAAAGTTCAATATTTATTGTGATGTTGATGTATTGATAATCAGAAATAATTGGGAGCCGAATAGATCATGGATTGCGTGCTATGGTGATTTTTTTTATATTAACGATAACAATTGTGATGCAATTAGTACTATAGAAGATATGATAAGCGATTTTGTAAGTATCTTTTTGCCTTTATTCTGCCGATCACGGACTGGAACCGCCGCGCCCTTTAAAGTGATATGTATTATTTTGAAGATCCGCTCACTTTATCATAGATTCAGTATATACTCCGGTTAATCTTTTTTCTTTTCATTAGCAACAAATATATTGAGTTGTTAATGGTATGGTAAAACATTTTTTAATATAACTAAAGAAAAAAGATGAAACACGTTTACTGTGGGAAACTAACCTAGAAATATTTGATTTAACTTTCATTTTTGATATTTTACTTACTGCGTCGAAATAATGTAAGAAGCTCTATTTTCAAACATAAATAAACTTTCAACGTGATTCTGATTCCGTGTGTTTCTGCTTTGCTGTGCTCAAGATTCGCCTATATGACCCTGATTTGGGTCATTAAGACCTATTTGTGGCAGATATAGAATGGCGTCTGTGCTCGTTCCCTTTCCCCATCTCGTTTTGTCTCCGTGTTCATTTTGTTCCTACAAATTAGAACAAAATGCTGTCAAGCACAGCCTATGGTCCAAGGTTATAATCTCTCAGAGTTCGTCAGATCTGTGGAGCATCGCTTAGACAACACTTTTCCACCTGTGCCATGCATCCTCTGAGCACGATACATACACACTCCACCATCATACATACATACCAGTTTTGGAATCATCGACACATGGGCTATTTATTTTCCATCCTTCGGGAATTACAGGTATCTTAATATGGTATATTAGAAGTGTTAAGTATACTACTGCTTTTGTTGTGATATGTTTCAGGGATCTGTTTGTTACTGGATCTGGTTTTGGTTACTTACTTGTTGGTCACGAATTATACTCTTGACTTCTTGCGGTGTTGTCCTTGGTTATTAGTTAGTTCTTCTCAAATTGCATTAGTTGATTTTCACTATCGATTTTGATCAATATTGCTATGTCACATTGGTTTGCCCTGTGGTCTTTTCTATACCTCCTAGCTTGCAATTTTGAAGTTTACGTTAATGGTGAGTATTGTCTCTTGCAGCGCTACGACATTTATGTTTAGTCTGACTACTATTTAGTTAATAACCCTGTCATTTTTTCTTATTTCTTCTCAATTCGAAGAGCATATTTTCAAGTACTTCTTATGTTGTTTGACAAAATCAGTTTAAGTAATTGGTAAAAGTAGCTAAAATTTGTTGTAGTGCTAACAAAAGTTCATCATCGTTCAATCATCTGGGACTTCTCCTCTGTGAACACATTCGTTGAAACAAAAAACATGGAAAGATCAATGCTCGGGGTGAGACTTATAGACCAAAAAACAAACAAATGGATTAGAAGCGAAACAAAAGTAAAAGACGCAGGAGAACATGCTGCCTAATTAAAATGGAGCTTCGCAGGACACAATGCCCGACTAAAGGCTAAAAGATGGAACCACCAAATACAACAATGGAAACCATGGTTAGGAAAGAGATGCAGATCGGAGGACACAACTGGAAGCAAGTGGCGCAAAATAGAAAACACTGGATTGATTTGGGGGAGGCCTATCTAAAAAGTTGGATTACTTAAGGCTGAAGAAGAAGAAAAAGCTAACAAAAGTCGTATATTAAAATTTTTTGAAAGAATTGTCAAAAACATATTGGACTGGTGGTTCAATAACACCAAAACTTTTCCTCAAAGTCAGTACGTTTTTAAAATAAACTATTGAACTGGTAATGCTATTGGTCAACTGGTTACAGATATACAGCTGTGTCTTGCTCAAAATTACTACCAAACTTCATTACTTCTTGACATAAAAGGAGCTTATGATATTGTAGGCTGGTCTATACTAGAAAAGAAAATGATCAACTTACAAGTTCCAGAGGAAGTAGCAGACACCATACTCAAGCTCTACATAAATAGATCAGTAACAATAAGAAAAGATAACGGTATCATATCTGAATATCGTTTGGTGACAAAGGGTTTATCACAAGGATCGGTTTTATCACTATTTTTAATATATATACTTATGACTTACACGATATTTCACCTAATGCAAAAGTTTTTTAGAACGCTGATGATTTCGTCTTTTACACACATACAAGAAGTTATGATACAAGTTTTTAAATGGCTTTCCTTTTGTTTTTATACCTGCTTTACCGTGGTCTACCCAGTATTTGTTTTAAAAAATGATAATAACGACACCTGGGCTAGAAAAATGTCTTTGTCCGTGTCCTTGTCTTAACCCCAAAATGATTATTATGATTAATGTTCCAAAAAAAAAAAATTACTTTGAAAAAACCTTTTATTATAAATTTTGGTCAGCTAAATTTGGCTTTAGAACTAACCCTAAAGCCAAAACAAAAACAAAAAAAGATTTCAACAGGTTCTACGACTCTTTTATTTTAAGTGACAAATTTACAATTTCAAAAATATTGTGTTTCTTACTTTTATTTCAGCTCACAATTTCCGAAGAAAAGGAGAAAGAATTAATTGGTACAAAAACAGAAAAATTAGAAGTCGAAAATGTTATTTCTTATGTACCCGAAAACGAAAAAACTAACAATAATGAACAAGTATGTAAAACAAACCCAGAAATACCCCATCAAAACGTCTCACCTTCACAAAAAAATAATATAAAGAATGTTATACCCAACAGTAATCTGAATTATTTTAAAAATAGTATAAATTTAACTGAGAATGTTAAAATGAAAAATGATTTGGAAGAAGAGAAGGAAATTATGAGGAAAGCCAAAGAGAATATAAATAGGAAAACCCGTCCAATTATTAAATATGTTGACGAAGCAAATGACACTCTTAAAATTGAAAAAAACGATGTAAACAACTGGGAAGATCTATTTGATGAGGAAGGACAAATACAGGAAGATTTATTAAAGGAGGTAAGCTTTTATTTCTCTGATAACATTTTATTTATTCTTCATCTGAGAATTTCGTTTGAGTAGTTCCATTTTTGAGTTCAGGGTCATATTTTTTATTGTTAATTTTTATAACTAATTTTTTTTCAAAACAGCTGCTCGTATTTTTTATTTATTGCCTCAATATATTTTGATTTTAAATGGGCAGCTAACTTTGAGCATATCTGACTGTATCATTAACAACTGTTAAAAACTAATTAGGTTTGAAAAAAAAAATAGGTTAATCTTCGTAAATGGGTATATTTATTTAAAAACCCTTAAACGCGCTACATCAAAAAAACAAACGTTTTCGGACGAAACAGTCCATCATCAGGTTTAAAATTGCTAGGTTAAAATGCCTGAGCCACCAAAATACCAGGGTAAAAACCCTTTAAATTACATGTAGTTGTAAAAGATTGTACATATTGTTGTAATAAAACTGTGATGTTAAATATTACATCCAGCTATAGTTTATTTTTATGAACGAGAGAGTAATTAGCATAATTTTAACTGGTATCTCCGACTACTCCATGGGCGTGCTCAAGATTAATTGAAAAATTACTTTGAATAATTGTAAAAAATAAATGAATTATTTCAGTGTTATGTGTATGTAAACAAAAGTGACCTCTTTTATCACACACTATATTAGAACTGACTGGCCTACATTAAAAAGGGTTTTAAAAAATTCACATTTTTTTTAATTTTTAAAAATTACAAAAGAGAAAAAGAGTTTTTAAAACCGTCTAAGGTATGTTAAATAGATGAATAAAAATATTAATATAAAACTTACAGCTACTTGTTACAAATCCAAATCAGATTCAGAAGATGAACTTTCAGAAGCAAGATTTATAATAACTGGCTCGATCATTTTATCAGTAATATTGTCCAGCTTCCACATTTTTTCTTCTTCTTTAATAGTGTGATTTACTGCCTTTTCCCAGTTTTCAGGTTTTACATTATTTACGGCCTCCAAAAACAACTGTTTAACATCATGAATTTTAAAAGTGGTATTTTTTCTTGAAACTGTGGTTGAAACTTGAAATGGTGGGTTTAAACCAGTAGATAAGTTATTTACAAAAGCGTGCCTTTGACTTGTAACAGTTTCATCCTGCCAAAATTTATTTGGTGTATGACCCTCGTTGATCCATGTTTCATCAAGATAAAATATTTTTCTTTTTTGGTTTCTCATTTCCTTTATGGTTCTTAGAAAATGTCTTCTCCATATGACAATATCGCTTCTTTCTAATAAAATAGACTTTCTGGGATTCTTTTTCCAGCGGAAGCCTATTTCTTTTAAAAGTTTCCATAACGTACTTGGACTCATTTCTGGGTTATCCTTATCATCTCGAACTGAGACAAGAACTTTATCCAATGTTGGAAATTCTTGTCTAAAGAAGAATTCATGCACTTTCCGTCGAAGTCCTTCTTTAAAATGATATTCTATTTGAAATTTTGGTTTCCCTGGAGCATTACGTGGCATTTGAAAACTACCACATTTCCCTTCTTTAATAACTCTGTAAATCGTAGATTTCCCAACACCAAGTGTACTGCTAACTAACTCAACGGTCTCATCAACACTTTCACATAAACGTTTGTCTGTAAATGATTTAAAACAATTAAATATTAATGTTTTTTCATTAACTGTTAAAGGACCAATTTTTCGGCGTTTACACGGCACTTCCAAATTTTCCATAACACTAGTATACACAATAAACTGCACCTTGCAACTGAAGTACCTACTTTTGGTGAACTGTTAAGAATTTTGAATACGCCACTTGGCCCTTCCTACAAAATGGAAAAACCCACTATCACATTTTCTGTGGAATAAGTTTAGAAGGTAATTATCTAGTCAATTACTGTCGTAGATTCCTGGAATTAAAGAATTAAATGTTTGATTGTTGAAACCCTTACTTCGTGAAATGTACTCATTTCAGATAAAACGTTTTATTTTATCTAAAGAAATAAACTTTATTTTGCAAATAGGTAGTTACTTATTAAACTTTTATTGGTTATATATAACCAATAAAATAAACATCTTACATTTCTTGCAAATTCATTAGTACCTGTTAACCTCCATCACTCCGACACTGGCAACCTTATTTAGGGATTAGTAACCCTCACAACTATTGTATTCTATTCTGCTCCAACCTTTATACCTGGTGGCCATACTCAATTTAAAATTGTTTTCCTATATACTTCTGTAAACTTGTTGACAAATATCTGTTTTTCATTGAGTCACCCGTATCAACAGTTTAGGGATTTGCATACATAATTTATTCTTTTATTACTCTCTCATACATAAAAATACACTATAGTTACCAGCTGTAGTCCGTTTGAAGAGATTTACTCTCCGGACACTGGAACTCACTTCAAGCATGGGTGTATGTTACCTGAAGTCAAATTTAATTTAATATTTAACATCAGTTTTATAACAACAATATGTACAATATTTTACAACTACATGTAATTTAAAGGGTTTTTACACTGGTATTTTGGTGGCTCAGGCATTTTAACCTAGCAATTTTAATCCTGATGATGGACTGTTTAGTCCGAAAACGTTTGTTTTTTTGATGTATCCCTTTTAAGGGTTTTTAAATAAATATACCCATTTACGAAGATTAACCTCTTTTTTGTGATACGTGGTATACAGCCAGCTACAGGAATTGTTTTCCTTGTGGATTTTTTTTAATTAGGTTTGCGAGGAGGCCTTTCAATAAATTTTCAATTTATTGGAATTCTCCGTAGAAAAAAGTTTCAAGCAAATTTTGTTTGCAAAATAAGTAATTGCCCTGGGTGAGGGTTTAGTTGACTGGGACCTGGGGTTAGTTGTCTCCAATATTTTCTTAGTGATATCATAAGGGTAATAGTAGTGACACGGTCCAAAAACAAATGCAAGTTAAATTTTTTACGTCTATTTTAACTATTGCCATTACAAAAATCTAACAATTTAAAACGAAACTCAAATCATCATCTGAATCACAATTGATGCATATGAAAAAAGTGATTGATATTACTTTTGCTCATACATTTGATGTGAGCCCGTCTGCTGCAATGGATGCATTGTACCCAGTCATCACATCTAGTGCTATTTCGATAGGGTTCTTCATATACTAAGCACTCAGTTTCATCCTCAGATTCCTACGATTCAGGGTCATGATGAGCTGCAGACGTAGATGGAATCGGGAAAAAAATTTCTACCGTCTGTACTTTTTGTGTTCTTGAAGATTTTCTTTTGGTTGCATGTTTTTCTTTTATGTGGAACTTTCTTTTCTTTCGCGATTTTCTTGAATTTTGTCGAAGACCTGCTTTTGGAAACTGCCTTACTTCTTTACGAGAAAGAAAGAATATCGAACTTGCAGGTTCTATTTTTGTCGATGCGAATGTGTTTGCAGACAAATTGTCGTTGACATCTGGGAAATGTTCTAGAATGTTCAGTGAATTCTCCATCATTTTAGCTTGCTCCTTGTTTTCGGTAGCGTTTCCTTCCTCATTTGGTGGTGTAGGCCTGTTTCACATATGATAGCAAGAAGTCACGTTCTTTGAAGATACCCTCGTTCAGAGGACATATCTCTGTTTCACTAGGCCCAGCCATTATATTGTTTGGCTAGAGGTAGACTCAATTTTACAATGCCAGGAACATCATATATGGAAAATGTTTTACCTGGATTGTTCACTATCCAGTTATCCATAGTTGAATTGAAGTATTTTTTTGGGGGTCTGTAAACACTCCTATCTAGAGGTTGCAATTTATGCGAGCAGTGCTGAGGGAGAGATAAAACTGTTACTCCGTTTTCCTTGCAAATATCTAATGTCTCGATAGAAAGTTGGGATTGATGATTGTCGAGCAGCAAAAGTATAGGGCGCTCCTTAGAAAATCTTGTGTGAAACTCAAAATGCTTGACAAATTTCACAAAATGTACTTTCATCTATGATGATAAATTTGCATTTCCTAGGGTTCCGACAGGTGCATCCCTAATAAAGTGATCCCTGTAGTTTACCCTCGGGAAAATGAAGAACGGAAGAACAGTGTTACTACTTACTGAAACTGCAACAGTGACGGCTACAAGGTTTTCTCTTTCTGCGGACGTGTTTGACTAGTTACTAAAGCCACCTCGGCCACTATTCTATCCGGCGTCTGAACAGTTGTGATACCAGTCTCGTCAATGTTTAAAATATCAGATATATACGCTTATATACCGTTTTCAAATTGTTGAAAAACATGTCTACATTTGATTTGTTAAATGAAGTGCACTGGCACACTGAAAGGCGAATTTTCTGAGCTCCTTGGGAGTTAATCGGTAATAAATATACTAAGCTTCTTTCAGGTAATTAGTTAGAAGTATCTCTTGTTCCCCAGAAAAAATATTTCGCCCATTGAAATAACCTACACGTTTTAGCTTTACGCTAAGCGCACAGACATCGAATTTGGACGGTCAATAAAAGTTCGGCCGAACAAATTCCTTTGGTGGCGCGAAGAAACAAATGCGAGCGGGCACACACATCGATCGCCAAACGGCACGGCATCGATGTCGTGTGATGGTCGTGTGGCGATCGATGAATGTCACTGCATTCACGGCTGCCGTGGTCGTTGCCGTCGTTCCAAGGCGTATAGTATCAAATGAACGCGCGTACACACATCGATCTTTATCGACCGACCAGTTGCGTTTTTTGACACTGCTCAAGGTACGTGGCTCCGTGTTGCTACGTGGCTCTGTGTTGCTCATTGTGATTTTGCACTTAACAAACCTTTGTGGAATAAAAAACGTCATCGAATAAATATCGTGTAGTGTGCGCGCAAGGCATCATCGACAAAAGTTCGGTCGAACTTTTATCGACTGTCCAAATTCGATGTGTATGCGCCTAGCCTTACATTCCCACCACGTGATCTGGCTTTAACTGCATATCGTTGAAGTGGTTTTTGTGGTATTGAGAAGTCTTTTGCGATACTATTAACAATTGTGTTATCATTTAAAATTGTTGAAACTGCCCGTTAAATGATATCGGGCGCTGTCTTGTACCTTTTCCTCTTATAGGTTCTCATAGTTCTACTGTAACAATAATAAAGACGATTAACGCTTCAGATAGATATACATTTGGAGAAACATAATATATGCAATATAACAGTTGCTAATAGTTTCCAAATGCTTCAATATCAGTATAAACTTATTAATCAATCGTAAAATACCAACTTAGTTCACAAATTCTGAAATTTGAGTACATGATGCGGTTTGTCGACTAAGTCAACAGACCTCGGAACGGCTTAGTCACAGAATAAATAACAACCAGAATGCCCACTCTTAGATGCCGCCTTTGAAGTTTGTTAGCACGCGATCGCCATATCTTAAACGGAAACATAGACTCTAATTGAGCAATTTGTGACAAGCTATGACAGAACTGCAATTTAAATTTTTAGAGATTAATAATTTAGTACAATAAAATAGTGCATATTATGTGTATGGTTTCCGTACATAAATTAAAACAGGGTTAATTTTTCTATGCGCACCCGATAAAATATCACTGAATAGCACTGGTTCCGTTTAAAACATGGCTGATTTCGTCTACGCGAACGAGATTCGCGTACTTAATTTTTCAAGTAGAGTGGGTACCCTGATTGTTTATTATTCTATGGCTTAGTCGACAAGTCCCATGCGTCATCCTATCATTCCGAGGGTCGTGTGATAGACATGCGTTAACGTAAATACGAATCTCTCTCTTCAATCCTGACCCCCCAGGGGGAGTGTAGTGGTCGACGTGATGTCGTGTATTGTCCGTCTCCAGAGATCTCTGTCTCTGGTCATTTCTTTTAATTCATGCATAGGTCTTTGGCATATTCCTGTAATTTGATCTATCCATCTTGTTGGGGATCTTCCTCGTGATCTTCGGCCTTCTACCTTTCCTTGTATTATGAGTCTTTCCATGTTTTCTGTGTTTGCTCTCATAACATGCCCAAAATATTTTAATTGTTGGAGATGGACTTTACTAGAGAGTCGTTGGCTAACTTTTAGCTCTCTTAAAATTGAATTATTTTTTCTGCGGTCGGTCCAAGGAATTCGTAACATTCTTCTCCAACAGAACATTTCAGTGGCGTCTATCTTTCTTCTCTCCGATTGTCTCAGAGTCCATGATTCACATCCGTAGGTCAGTATTAGGAATATTAAGCAGTTGATCAACCTCATCTTTATCGCTCTTGAAATTTGACAGTCCTTCCATATTTTGGTCATTTTTGCTGTGGCAACTTTTGCTAGATCAGATCTACGTTTAATCTCTTCTTGTAATGACCCTGTGTTTGTGATTAATGATCCCAGATATAAGTATGAGCTCACAACCTCGAACCGGTCAATTGTGGTTATGTGTGGATGATTGTTATGTAGTCTATCCACTATCATGATCTTTGTCTTTGATATGTTTAATTGTAGACCAAATATTTGACTTTCGTTTTAGATCAGTCGTATAAGTTCTATCAGCTCTGCTTGACTATTTGCAAGAAGGGCTGTGTCATCTGCGAAACGTAGGTTGTTTAGTTTATGACCATTTATTGAGATGCCCTTTTCCCATCCTTCAAGTGCTCTTCGCATAATATACTCCCCATATATGTTGAATAATTGTGGAGATAGTATACATCCTTGTCTGACACCCCGTTCTGGATGAAATTCGTTCGAAAGTGTGTCAAGTACTTTAACTGATCCAGTAGTGTGTTCATATAGTTCGCCTTTTAGTATTCGCCATAAGTGTCTCCACTTGACCCTGTCGAACGCTTTACGGTAATCTATAAAACAGATGTATAGTGGGATGTTGAATTCCCTAGATTTCTCGATTATCTGTCTTATATTCAGCAGGTGTTCTCGAGTACCTCTTCCTTTGGTAAATCCAGTTTGCTCTTGTGGAATTTCTCTTTGAAGGAATGTTTTCAGTCTCTCATTGAGTTTCTCATGTTTTCAGTCACTCTCTCATAAATACGAATAGATCACGTCAAATCATAGCCAATGTATGTTACGGCGCAATTCTATTGAGTATTGAGGCAACACTGAACGACATGAGGCAAGATACATGAATCCACTCGTCGCCTGTTTCAAGATTTTCGACTTTAAGCCACAAATTTTGTCGCATTACATTGCATGTGTTTTGTCCTATGAGCTTTTAGCATGCGTGTAGGTGTAATTACATTCAGGCGAATTCAGGCACACTGCCATTTCTTTGCAAGCAGTCACGGCAGCAGTATATTTAGTAATTGCTGTGAATGGTAAAAAGAAAAGAAGGAAGTGAGATATATGTTAGTAGTCAAGAGAGTAGTCAAAAATAAAAAAACATGATACCAACTTTCGCGAATCAATACCACCGCATGTGAGCTACAGGTGATAGCTACCAGTCACTTATGTATTTGTTTTGGATATCTGAGCCAAGCATCTCTCGAATTATTTCTGAAGTATGTAGAGCTTTGATCGCAAGATGGAATTATTTAATTATTCGGGGGTCATGGAGGGCAGTTATCCAAGGCGATACTGGTCTGCAGGATTTGCAAATCGCAATAGAGCGCGAAGGTCAACAATGGAAGCTAAAGAAGTGAGAAATGAATTTATGAGATATATTCAGCAAAATGAAGATTCACAAAATTTTAGCCAAAAATATTGAAACATAACCTCAACATTATATAAACGTCAAAAATCTTTTTTTTTTAATATTTTAAAACTAAAAAATTAACGCTTTTGACGTTGTATGGAATTTTAAGGCTATGTGTCAATATTTTGTGCTAAAATTTGGTGAATCTTTTTTTGAAAAAAGAGAAAAATGCATATCTTAGCTAGTCGGTATAATTAATATAGATGCCGGCTAATATTTTAATGTATGAAGTGTGGTTTTGTGTAGATGAGTAAATTAAAATTTGAATCGGCTCCAAATAGAATTGTCTCGATATTTTAGAACTTTAATAACAGTGCATTGTTCCTAATAATGATCTGATTATGTGCAATGAACAGTTTATAAAAGTCGTTTACTTGTAAACTTGATGGGTTGGTTAAAAAATATTAGTTGTTACGGAGGTACTTACATAATTTAATTATTTTGACGTTTTTATATTTAAAAATATCGAGTTCATAATACTGGAATAATTTTAGATCGTACATAAAGTAGGAAAAAATGTAACTATTGTCAAAGCCAAGGAAGATTACTCGGACTATTTTACGAAGCATGTGAAGATTGAAGAGTTGGAACATATGGTGGAGTTATATGATTTTCCAGCTTCCTTGGAAACACACGATTTGATCCATGCCTTTAATGAAATTAAGAGTGATGCCATGTATATTAAATGGGTGGATGATACGCATGCTATACTAGTTCTCGGGTCTTCAACTCAAGGTATGTATTTTAATATATGGTTGGTTTACTTTTTAGAAAATTAATACATCGTTATATCGAAATCTATATCGAGATTTTATTTTTAGCTCAAAGAGCTATAAATGTACAGAATCCTTTGATAAAAGTTCGACCAATGATGGCAGCCAGCAAATCAACACTTTCAATAGCTTACCAAAACGATTTGAAGCCTGCCATGAAACGACCAGCTACAAATTTACAAACCGCTAGGAGACTGATTACAACTCATTTAGGAACCAAGAGTGGAATTAACAGTGAAATAAGTGCCAAAGAAAGGAATGATCTGAAAGCTGCTAGAGGTGATTAATTATTTAAAGTATTTTTTATCCCCTATACATTTATTTTTAGTTTATTGTAGTGTTTTTGACGAACAACTCGATCCCTTAAGGCGATTGCTCGATAAAATTGAACACAAATTCAAGCGAATTCTCTAAATTTTGAAAATTTTATTCCTACTAATACTGCGCTTTTCTCGAATCCCTCGCAGAGTCAGCAATTGGTATTTCTACCTATATGTAGAGTATTGTGCGAATTAATGGAATCATAGGCTGTTTTAATGAAAAAACAGTTTATTTAGTAAAAAAATTATATTTTGACAAAACTATAAAGGTAAACTTACATCATTCAGTAGGAAATATGTCCCCCTTTGGCAGCAATTACTGCTTTTACCCGTTTTGGCATAGATTCTATGAGTTTCTGGCAGTTGTCAGATATCCTTTTATCTCGATACCAAACCTGAATGGCCGCTTCTATCATTTTTGTTTTAGTGGTACAGTCGATTTTTCGCAGTCTAGCTTTGCAAATGGCCCATAAATTTTCAATGGGGTTGAGGTCGGGCGAATTACCGGGCCAATCTAAAACATTAATCTTCTTATTTTTGAAAAATGCCATCATTTCCTTTGATTTGTGACAGGGAGCAGAGTCCTGTTGAAGAATCGCTCCTCCTTGGGGTTGACATTTATGGAGTTGTTTGTCCAAATACTTTTCCAACATGGATTTGTATTTTTGGCTGTTCATCATGCCTCTAATTGGCACCAAAGATCCAACCCCCATGTATGAAAAACATCCCCAAAACATTTTCTTGACTGGATGTTTTACGGTTTGATCAATATGAGATGGTGTAAGCTTTTCATTGTCAGACTTCCTGACGAATTTCGACCGCTGTCCCTGAATATAAAGTGGGTTTCATCTGTAAATAGGACTTTTTTCCAGTCGCCTACAGTCCAATTAGAGTATTTTTTGGCCCACAGTAGACTTTGTTTCTTCATTCGTTCAGTTAGAAGCTGTTTTTTCTGTGGACAAATTGCCCTTCAACCATTCTCCAAAAGTCTTCTACGAACAGTTGAGTCATGAATCACTATAGCTGATGCTGCTAGATCGTGTTGTAGGTCTTGGCTTGATTTTCTTGGGTCCAATTTGCTCTTTCGAAGTAAAAATCTATCATCTGCTGGTGTTATTTTTCTCTTTCTTCCACATTTTCCTAACCTTTTCACATCCACTGATCCCGTTTCTCGTTTACGCTTCAAAATTTTGCTTACTACCCCCTGACTCACTCCACACGTTCTAGCAATCTCTCTTTGTGACATACTAGTGTGTTCACTCAACGTGACAATCTTTTCACGCTTCCTAGGCGTAATATCCATGTTGGAATAAAACCAAAAACAACACAAAATAGTACAAAAATCCCCAAAACAACACAAGCTTGGTAAGAAATGACCTAAAACACACTCAAACACACCAACACACAGTAAGGTTATGTTTTCAATGCTTGGTCAGCTGTCAACTGTGTAGGTAGTGTTGCCAACTGTGAATATTGAAAAAATGAAAAAAAAATCACAGTGATTCCATTAATTCGCACAATACTGTACCTATACAAAATTTCTTAAAAACCGTAGTTTTCTCAGTTTTATTGTCAGTGCTACCACTTTTTGTTTATTCATCCTTTCGAATACATCCTGGCTAGACCTAGTGGAATTATGAAAAAGCTGTCAAATATCTATATGGCAAATGCAGTCTTAACTGATACGAAAGAAAATTAAAGCAAGAGGTCTCTCATTGTTCAGCTGCTGAAACTATTAAAAGCATGTTGGCGACTACAATTTACCACTGAATTCTTTGGTTTACTCAATTGAAGAGGGCTTGCTCGTTGACTCTCCACAAAACTACCCAGCAAAGCTACTATGCGAATGTTTTTCTTACTTAAACCTGAAGCAATCAAATATCATTCAAAATCAAGATTATTTTTGGAACTCATTTTCCACAGTATTGAAGATACTGTGGAAAATGAGTTCCAAAGTATCTAAACTAACAGTGTCTGAAGTATCAGACACTGTTAGTTTACGAAGCATTTGACAATTTACTTCCCAATAACTTTCATCATGTGATCTTAGTTGTAATGGTAATGTTAAATAATTAGATTACAGGAAGTACTACATATTTTGACAATCGTTGTAGCTTTCTGCACCTACGATGACCTCTATATCACATATGAGGCCTTTCATATTCTTCTTCTTCTTCAACCATAAGTAATCCAACTTTTTACATAGGCCTCCCCCAAATCAATCAAGTGTTTTCTATTTTCTGCCACTTACTTCCAGTCGTGTCCTCCGATCTTCTTAATATCATCCGCCCATCTCATTTGTGGTCTTCCTCTGCTTCTCTTTCCTAACCATGGTCTCCATTGTTGTATTCCATGGTTCCATCTCTTATCCTTCATTCGGGCATTGTGTCCTGCGAATCTCCATTTTAATTTGGCAACGTGTTCTCCTGCGTCTTTTACTTTGGTTTTGCTTCTAATCCATTTGTTTTTTTTTTGTCTATAAGTCTCACTCCGAGCATTGATCTTTCCGTCGTTCTTTGTGCTTTTACTATTTTATCCATATTAGACTTGGTGAGTGTCCACGTCTGTGAACCATACATCTACCCATGGAATCCTTAACAATCTTCTAAATGTCCACATTAAACGCGTTAAGTCGATTTATTGTATTCCGGTTTAATGTCCATGATTCAGCTCCATAGTAGAGTACACTGTGTACATAGCAATTAATCAGCCTTATTCTAAGGGCCAATGTCAGATCTTTGCTGCATAAAATCTTTTTCATTTTCACAAAGTTGGCACGTGCTTTTTCAATTCTGACTCTTATCTCCCAAGTAAGTATATCTTTTTACTCTCTCAATCTGCTGGCCGCCTACCGTTAATATTTCATTTGTATTGTTGTTCTTACTAATTTTCATGGAATTTTGATGTTAAGAGAGAGTCCGTCTTCTCCACTATATCTTAATATTTTGTTCATTATTCTTTCTAAGTCTTCCAAGTTGTCGGCTATTATGACTGTATCGTCGGCTTACCTAATGTTGATAATTAAACTTCCGTTCACATTTATGCCGACTGTCTCGTTTACCAAAGCTTCTTGTATGATTTCTTCAGAATACGCATTAAACAATAACGGCGACAGTATGCAACCTTGCGTGACCCCTCTCCTTATCTCCACTTCTTCTGACACTTCTCTTCCAATTTTCACATTTGATCGTTGGCTGTAGTATAAATTCAAACAGATTCTTGTTTTTGAGTAGTTCTATAAGTCGGTCATGTTTTACTTTATCGATCATTACATCTATTTGATGTTCTCCAGGAGGCTGTTCGAAATGATACCGGTAGTAGAGAGAATAATAGGGTGTTGTCTGGATATTTTCCATTCTCCGGTTTCTCCTTACTTATATTTCAAGAATTCTATAGGTACTTGACATTTTTCTCGTTAAATTTAACCCCTAAGTGGGTGTAGTGTAAAATCTTGTTGGAAGAGTTGAATTATAAAAATATCCTGCTGATAATAGCACATACAGATTGAACCAAATTAAAACGGAACATACAATTTAATACATGTCTGTTTGAACTGCATTTGAAATAGTGGACCAATATAAAACTTGGACAAAAATAAATCCATACCTGGGTATAGACATTGTATAAATATCGTTCAACTATCTGTCTCGCAACAAAGTTGTTTGCGTAAGACGGGTTTGTCTAAGGAGGCGATAATAGTTCAGGAAATGAAGCTCGAAAAAAGTTAAAACCTCGCAATTTTTTCGTCCTGCATGTATCCAGTTGAAATTTTAGCAGAAGGTAGGTAATAGCCCGAGGATCAAAATCTATATCGAACCGAAGTGCGCTGAAGGGTTTTAGGGGTGAAAACTACCCCTAATTGTCAAAAATTATAAAATAACATATTAAACCTGAATATGGGTAAGATTTGGTTTGAATTAGTTAAATAATGATTATTTTATACTTTTGAATAGAGTTCCATCATAATTCAATCCTTAAAAAGCAACCCTTGTTAGAGATTAATGTAAAAAATTACTAATTCTAAAAAAATGATTTCGCCTTGGATCGATTTGGATAAAAATTTGGATTTAAGCTCAATTCACCCGCTGCTTTATAGTTTATGTCATGTCGACGAACCCTGATTGTTCTTAGGGGTGAGAACTACCCCTAATTGTCAAAAATTATAAAATAACATATTAAACCTGAATATGGGTAAAATTTGGTTTGAATTAATTAAATAATGATAGTTTCGGGCTTTTGAATAAAGTTCCATCATATTTCAACCCTTAAAAAGCGACCATTATTAGAGATTAATATAAAAAAATTAGTAATGCGAAGAAAATGATTTCACCTTGGAACGATTTGCATAAAAATTTGGAATTAAGCTCAACTTACCCTCTGCTTTATAGTTTATGTCATGCCGATGAACCCTGATTATTCTTAGGGGTGAAAACTACCCTTAATTTTAAAAAATTGTAAAATAATATTACAAATCTTAAGATGAGTGAAATTTGGTTTGGATTAGTTAAATAGTGAGTTTTTTATACTTTCAAATACAAATTCATACATTTTCAACCCTTAAAAATCAATTGTTATGAGTGCTATAGGTTTTTTTTTTTTTTTTTATTATAACTAATAAATTAACAATCAGAATAAAACAATATATTCTATAAGTTAATGTGATGAGTTTAAGTCCTGTCCCTTGGTTCTGGCGTGATGTGGTCCCCTCCAGTGAGAGAATCACGGGTCCATGTTACTGGTCTGTTGGCCAACGTCGCTTTAGTCTTCGGATAACTTGATGTTGAGGTATTGCGGAAATTAATGGGTTGGAGTGTGTGTTCACTTTTTGAATGTATTGTAATTTCTTTTGCTGGTATACTTCTTTCACTGTTGAGATATTGAGATCCTCATAGATTCGTTGGTTGGTTACGTACCAGGGTGCATCAACAATTGCTCTTAAGATTTTTGATTGACATCTTT